CTTTTCTATTTTCCTTCCTTCTTCCCTTCCTCTTTTCTTTGTCTTTCTCCCCCTCTCTCCTTCTTTGTCTCTGTCTTTCTTTTGCCTTCTTGCTGGTGTTTATTAAAGCAAATCCCAGACATCATATCGTTTAACTCATTTCCTACAGAATTTCCTGGAGGCAGGGCCACAGGAGAGTATAGGCTGGGGAAATGATCTCTTATGATTGCATTCTTCTCCAAAATATGGAATTTGTGTTACGGAGATAAGAAAAAACAGAATTTCTAAAGCTTCTTTGTACTCGCCCAGATATCGTAGAATTCATTCTCTGTCTCCACGTCCTCCCCCTAGAGCCTTTGAGGAAGGTCTAGGGAAATTTTTAAATCTTCCTCTACTATTAAAATAGTAATAGAATAGCAGAAATTCTGGATGTTTGTAAACCTAAAAAGAGGTGACTATTCTACTGTCAAAGAGCATTCTCAGAGCATCGGTTCTGAAATTAAAATTTGTCATGTAAAGGTTGAGCTCTTTTGTGACAAGAAACCAAACACGCTGTCCCCCCCTGCCCCCGTAAACCCGTAAAGCTGTGTGTTGTGAAGGTTTTCTGGGCACTTTGGACCAGGACCTCGGTAGGAAACCGTGGTTCCCAGTTGTCTTTGACATTCACACCCAGATCTACAGAGGGGCGAGTAAACCGCAGGTTCTGTTATTTTCCATTCGTAAATATCATCCAACTAAATTTGGGTGAAATGCCCTCTAAATAAGTCAAATAGACGGGGGCTTTGACTGAGGAAATTAATTATAGCTGGTGTCCCAAGGACAAGAATCCCATTGTGGCGTGGAGAATGTAATTAATGGGAGGTAAGAGCCAACAAATCACCCCTTAAAATATTAATGCTATCACGGAACAGCTGGATAATGAGAGAAACTTGACCCTTGGACGACTGGCAAAGATTGTTGCTGCTGCAGAACTTTATGCAGTGATGAGGTAATGAAATTCCTCTAAATTTTAACAAAAATAATATTAGGAGGTGTGGTTCTGGGAAAGTTATTAGCAGTAAACATGCCATTGTAGTTTCTATTATCTTATTATAATCATTATGTCTTGTTTCTGCTGTGGTTCTAAATGACTTTTCCCCTTAATTACGTAGGGTATTTTTACAATCCAAACAACACTCCTAAAAAACAACTAAATTAAAAAGAAGTTTAAGCCTGGCAAGACTTTTTTTTTTTGGTAAATAAAAACCAGTGCCTAAGAAATTTCTGCTAAAACAATTTCTCTTATGGTTAAATTAACTTCTTTGAGTCAAGAAAAAGTTGTCCCATTGTTTGTTTACTGGTAAAAGTTCCAAATTAATTTGGTTTTACTTAATAGCTTATTATTGTCCCAAGAAATATCTATTTCTAAGAGAGCAATAAACGGACATTTTCGCAGAGTCCCACTTAGCGTATGAAATGTTGGATATTTTTTTTTATAGTCTCATAACTCAATCATAATCCCAGTTATTAAAATCCGAAGTCAGGCGTTCTTCTTTCAATTTGGAAGGTCCTTTAACTTAGAGTTAAAAAAAAAAAAAGAAATTGTTTTATGCAGAGTTGAACTGCATCACTTGCAAAAGTTTCTCTAGAACCGGCTGAGATCCTCGGAAAGCTGCGGGTGGGATAAATGCTTCTGACCATGCCCTGGGCTCACCGGTGCTCAGAACCTTTGTTTCTTTGGTTTCACTCGAGGTGCCAACATCTAAATCAGTGACACGGTATGCAGCGTGTTTGACAAATAGGCTGAGAGACGCGGAACACACTCACACATACCAATAAACGACGAGAGGAAGTTCAGGACGCAGTAAAAACAAATGCTTAAGTTTAGCCGGGTTTCACATAACACCAGTTTCATAAGGCACTTACGCCGCGAAAGGCGCAGTGCCCCTGAAAACAGCCCCCAGGGGACACATCATTTAAATAAATGTGTTTCTTTGCCCGAACAGAAGTTCAGATCTGCTCAATTATCATTAATTTTGTTCTTTTATTTCCTTTGCGGGCGTGAACGGAGGAGTCGTGCTCTTTTGAGGTTTTGCGAGCTGGAGGTGCCTGGCGATTCTTCACCCCTGCGGCGCGCAGGTGAGGGGCGGGGAGAGCGCGAGCGCGTGTACTTCTCAAAATGGGTTGTTCCAGAAAAGGCGGAAACCTAAGTGAGAAGCCCAGGGCAAATGTTCGCGCCCCCGACGAACCATGCTACTGGTCCCGACCCTTTAGAACCGGTGTTTCAGGGACAAGTTCAGGTCTGTGCAACAAGAAGACAGATTATTCGACAAACTTCAGTCATCGCACTTATTTTTTATTAAATCCATACAATGTAAAACCAGAGCCTCCACGCGCGCGTCAACGCGCGTGGATGGAAGCAGGAACCCGCAGCCCTCACTCTCACTCTGGGGAGTTTTCTGGGCCGTGCGGGAGTCGGGGAGTGAGTGTGTGTGTGTGTGTGTTGAGGGAAGGGCCGGATCCCCTCAGGTTTAGAGTCAAGTCCTGGGGGAGCGGGAGGGGCGGGGGTGGCCGGGGAGAGGCGGGGGAAGGCGCGGGAAGCAGAAGGCGCAGAGGACCCGGGGGCCTGCGCTGCACCCGCGGTGATTAGCTCCAGCAGCGCGACCCGGGAGGGCGGACTCTTTCTCAGCCCTCATGGTCTCCTCCTCCCTCTTCCTTTTTAAAGGACGCCTTCCTTGCAGGCAGAGCTGTCCGCAACAGGAGGAGGTTTGCACTTGGCCGCGGCCGGGCAGACTCCTGCTCTCTTTAAAGACTGGGTAGGGAGAGAGCGGCTGCCAGCCCTAGGTACCGCACGTGGGGAGCAAATTATTCTTTTTTCGGGCTCCTCTCGGGACCTGGCGACGGCCAAAGTTGGGGCGCTGTGCGGTCCTGGCTCGGCATCTCTGCGTGCGATGCCTTCCGTGAGGAGCGGGGCGGGAGGTGGCCAAGGATTCCGCGCGCCCCTGCCGCCGGGAGCCCTATGAGCCAAGCCAAGGGCGGCAGCAGCAGCCCCAGCGGGAGCCTCGGCCAGCGCCTGCCGCGGGCTCTCGCCACTCACCCCTGCGCACCATGCTGACCCCTGGCCTGCGGAGTCTGCAGCGCAGCCCCTGTCGTCTCCCCGGTCCCTGCTAACCCACACGGGAGTGGCTTCCGCTGTCGGAGCGGCGGAATCGCTGCCCGCTGGGAGCCCCGGCTCAGCCCTCCGCTCTCCAGCTGCGTCTCCTTCCCTGGCGCTCAGCGGCGATGGGGGTGCTGCTGGCGCTTTGCGTCCTCCTGGCCTGGCTGCGCTGGGGCCCGGCGAGCGCCCAGCAGTCGGGAGAGTATTGCCACGGCTGGGTAGACGTGCAGGGCAACTATCACGAGGGCTTCCAGTGCCCAGAGGACTTCGACACGCTGGACGCCACCATCTGCTGCGGCTCCTGCGCGCTCCGCTACTGCTGCGCCGCGGCCGACGCCAGGCTGGAGCAGGGAGGCTGCACCAACGACCGCGGCGAGCTGGAGCACCCCGGGATCACTGCACGTAAGTGTGGGGCCTTGGAGGGCAGACCTCCCACCCGCCGCGTTGTGTGCCTTCCCGGGTCTGTGCGCCAAGAGGACGCCGCAGGCTGGGGGGTTCAGGGAGCGGTGAGTGGTCGCGTTTCAGGTCAGAAGTTACTTTTCCTTTGCAGTCCCTCTTCCCACCACAGGCTGTCTCCGCGGGTCGGCCCAAGGGAAAGTTTGCTAGGGACAGCGAGGAGCGTGGGACTTGCACCTGGTGGCTTTAGGGAAGACAGCTGGAGCTCCCGGGAGAAGGCCGGCGGGCAGCGCCAGGGCAAACACGGACTTTTAGGGGCGGTTAGGGCGACCCTGTGCACGCCACGCGGTGGTCACTTGGGCAGCTTAGGAAGTACCGATGGCGGGAGAACGCCACTCAGTCGCGCGGTCATCAGCAGCCCCGCAAGGCTAAGAAACTACCCACTTTTCTGGGGGTTTGTGTCCTTCGGTAGGTTTCTAAGCCGCTGCCCCGTTCTCGCGCTTCCTTTGGTTTTTCTGCTTCGAATTACCCTCTCCGCCCCTTCCCCCTTTGTCACGCCTTTCAGAAATGCCCAGGTCTTCGAGGTGGAGATTTAGAAACCAGGGTCGCGAGGGCAGTAGGGGGGCGGATTGGGGGAGTGTCCCCCGCCCCTTATTCTCACATCCGAAAACACGGGTCAAATTTCCGCTCACTTGAGAGCGGAATAAATCACGACCCACGACCCCAGCAGAGGAAATTTACACCTTGAAAAAAAGTTTTCCACCTGAATCAGAACACCAGGGAAACCCTTCAGAGCTCCAGGCAACTGTTTTACGACCCGGAAATCGGAGAAGCTGGCAGAATTGAGGGCGGGTGACACCCCGGACTCAGGAGCTCAGGTCTGGGGTTGAAAGGGGAAGGTCCCCAGGAAAGGCGCAGAGAGGCTGGAGAGGTCATTGAAGGTGCCCGAATGTCCCCGCCCACAAACGGGTGACCCGGGGAAAGGGGGCTCCACTCTTCGTTAGTACTCCATTGGACTTGGGGAGATTCAGTGGTGGGGGTCAAAATTTCCAATGTAGAATTTGCAGGATTTGAGAAATAGTTTTTGGAGAAAAGACTTTCAGTGGAAGTAGGGAACTCTTAGGCCGTCCTGCCTTGTTACAAAAAACCAGAGTCTTTTTTTAAGGCTTCACTCACTCAGCTGGTTCCCCTCAGCAGAGAAGTATTAACTGCCCCCTCTGCAGTGGGGACTCATCTGCAGTGGGGACTCGGTGGCCACAGGACAGCAGGAGGAGCGCAGGCTCCACACTCAGGGGCAGTGGCTGTCAGTTGCCTGAGATGTAACCTTGGGCAAATTGGTGTTCCCAGCCTCTTCTCAATTCTTAATAGGCATACAGCTCTCAAAGGAGTTAGATTGTGGAGTTAGGGACAAAGTCCTGGGGAACAGCTGGTCATTTCTCTTTGCATGGCCTTCCGCTGGTGCTGGTCAACATGGGGGTACATTGAATTATAGGGGAGGAGACTGAATTATAGGAGGGCACCCACAGATGGTTGACAGTTACTGTCACTCGTGGCTGTTTCTGGTAAAATAAAAAACTCTGATTCATTCCCACATCTGGAAAACATGCCCATCTCACAGGACCTGAGACTTGAATCAGGTAATGAGTAAGCAGGCCACGCACACAGTAGGGCCGTGGTCAGTGCAGATTTTCTATCTTCTGCCCCTAAACTGGAAGCACCACCCCTGTGTGGCTGTCCAGGGGAGAGAATGGAGAGCTGCCCTGGGGATGCCTCGGGGAGGGAAATTTTATGTCTGCCTTATAGAGAGAATAGAATGAAAACTGAATTTCGTTCTGTCTGACGGATGTTCTTATAGAAAGTCTGGGCTGCAACCCCCAAGATCATAATCTATTTAATGTTCGGCCTGACCTTCCCAGACCTTGGGTGAGAGTTGAGAGATGGAGGTGGGGGGTGGGAATAGGGTGAAGGCACCCCAAATCATTTTTGGAAAGAAGCTGCCTAGAGCCAACGATTTGAGGTATAGTAAGGGTCACAGTAAATTGGGGCCCACTCTGCAGTCTTGGTCTTTCTGGAGTCCTGTAAAATCCTGGGAGTCTTATTCAACAAGGCCTGGTTCTTTTTGCTTAGATGAGAGACTCTTGGAAGATGAATTGTCAGAGTAAGAGAAGATCAGAGTCCCGGCTGCCCCACTGTCATAAAACTCCTGAGACCTGCATTTAAACCCAGAGTCGTAGTAACCTCCCAGAGTCACCCTTTCCGTCCCAGGGTAAACAGGAGTTAGATTCAGTTCTGTTCTGATTTCCAGATGTGCACTATGAGAGCTAATTGCTAACAGAGGCTACAGTATCAGTTTGCTTCCTCCCTGCTAGGAGGGGCGAGAATCCTCTGTCATCACCGTGTGCACTTCGGAGGTTACCGGTCACAAGCTCTGAACAGTTGAGCTGATGATAGTGGTCATACCGCACCTCCTGCCTCTCAGCTGCTCACGCAGAGCTCAGTGCCTGGGAGCCCCTCATCTGAGCATCTGTGTGTGTGTTTTTGCCTTTTAGAGCCTGTCTACGTCCCTTTCCTGATTGTCGGCTCCATCTTCATTGCCTTCATCATCCTGGGCTCTGTAGTGGCTATTTATTGTTGCACCTGTTTGAGACCCAAGGAGCCTTCACAGCAGCCAATCCGCTTCTCACTCCGCAGCTATCAGACAGAGACTCTGCCCATGATCCTGACCTCCACGAGCCCCAGGGCACCTTCCCGGCAGTCCAGCACGGCCACCAGCTCCAGCTCTACAGGTGGTTCCATCCGCAGGTTTTCCTTTGCCAGGGCTGAGCCGGGCTGCCTGTCGCCCTCACCGCCCCCACCTTATACCACAGGCCACCCAATCCACCTGGCTCAGCCGTCTGGTTTCCTGGTGTCACCCCAATATTTTGCTTACCCCCTCCAGCAGGAGCCCCCACTGCCCGGGAAGAGCTGTCCAGACTTCGGTTCTAGTTGACAGACCATGGCCACAAGTCCACCGTGTGGTAGAATGGCAGAGAGGTGAAGCTGCCATCGCCACACGCATCCCTCAGAAAATTTCCCTTGTAACTGATCAGTGTCACGGAGGAAGGAACATGCTAGGAAAATACGGCACTTTCTAATCTTACTACTCCTGGCTCCAATCACGGGGTGGCTGAGTTAGAGAATTGATTTTTTGATTCTGTTAAACATGGTGATGACTACCTTTCAATTTAAGCTACTTTTATTCAAAATACACAGCAGTTTGACTTTAAAGTTGCAAATTGACTGAAAATGTTTTAGCGGACAATTTTAGAAAAGGGCTGTATGTTCGTTCTTCACAATACGTTGTTTATTGAGTGTAATAGAAACAAATAAGCCAAGAAAAATACCTAATTGTAATTCAAGGTTCACTTAAAATTAACTATTATGTAAATTTGAGGGGGCATGAACAACCTATTTATGATTGAGTAACATAATCCTAAATAATATTAGCATAATGAGAACATTTACAGACATTAATAACTAAATTTTGTTTAAAATAGAAGAGGTTTTCCCCCCCCTAGAATACAAGGTTTCAATAACCACAGGAGGCGTTTAAACACATACTCATTCATTGTAACACAGATTCTATGGAAAATCATTTCCCCCACCTACTTGAGGGAATATTTATTGCAGACTTTTTGTTCTGCAACATTTATTGTTTTGATTGAAGCTGGACAGTTGAGACTCAAACATTTATTTGTAAAATGAGTTGTGTATAAATGTAAAGATTTGTAATTTAATGTATTTACCACATTGACTGTACTAATTATTTCATAGTCACATTGTAATTTTTATGTTAATAATAACTGTGGAGTTCAAATTCCAGCTGTCGGTATAATCCTCTAATATTACAGATGTCAGGTGTCACAGAATTCCTTGGTAATGGCTTCGTACCTGGGCATATATTCTGCTGGGTTAGAATAAATAAAATGCTTCATGTTTTCCTAAACTCTTTGTGAAACTTTAAATCAACGTGCTTCATTTGGTCTCCTTAGTGATAGTCTTTGCCATTAAATAAAAAGAAATGTCTTTATTTAATGCACATTTTCTAATTTGAAATGTCACTCTGAGTAGTTCCTTTCTAAATTAGTCAGACGCAGAATTCTGATCTAAAAGTGCTGCTTGGCCTGGCCTCTGGGATTTCTGGTCAAGGAAGTACACCCAGAGATGTGGGGCCTTTGCCTAAAGGCAGCCAGGCTCTGACTTCTGCTCTGCTCTCTCCGTATCTAAAAGCGGCTTGTCTTCCAGGTGTCTCAGACTGCTCAAAATAATTAAGGAAAGAGCTAAATGTCAACGGACGAACATCTGTGAGCATATTCGAGAACAGTGATTTTCAGCTGGTGTGGGGTGCCACGAGAGGGTCTTAGGTGTGCTGTGAAAATTTTAAAGATCATTAATTAATTAAATTATTTTCAAAAGAAGTTGAAAGCACAGTGAGTATATTCTTTTTTTACTCTTTTTTTTTTTGATGAA